TGAATCGGGAGAACGAGCGCGTCGCGGAAACGTGCCGAAAGGGCGTTTAGAGAACAAGACACGCGTCGGAGTTCTGCGTCGGTATGGGACGCGTAGGATCGCGAAGCGAAATGAGCAGGGTAAGCGGAAAACGCGACGCGGGTCGGCCAACCGAGCGGACGGAGGATTACCCAACGCGTATGTGTCCTCCGTCCGCAATCTTCTTTGCGACCGCAAGGGGACACCGTAACCAGAGCGTCTCTATGCGATCGGGTCCAGGGCGGATTTCCCCGGCCTTAATTTCTCCGGGCCCGCAGCCCCCGGAGCCCGCGACCGCGGAGATCACATCCTCCACGGTCCGCATCGTCCAGGTCACAGACCCGGATGTCGGCCCTCTTCATGGGACGCGCTATCCGCAAGTCCCTTTTGTCGGCGAAGAGGGCCGACATTCTGCTGGCCAGGGCATCCGCCCTGGCATGTCCTTCGGGACCGGGGATCTCGAGGACCAGCGCGCCAGTAACAACCCTCCTAGTCCTGAGATCCCCGATCCCAAGTTCTCCCAAGTCTATTTGACTCCTCGCCCGCCGCATCACGTCGGCGTAGCTGCCGGCGGGGCAGCTTACCGTGACCACGGCGGCGCGAGGAGCCTTGGGGAGGGCGGGTTTATTTCCCCCCCCCCTCGGGAGTTCTTCCCAGCCTTGGCGCCCCCTTTGGTCACCGCGCCCTGTTTGGATCGCGGCTTTTGGAGAGTGGGTTGGGAGGTCTGTTTTGCCCTTCCTCCTCCCTGCTTCTCCCTCCTCCCCTCCACCCGGGCCCAGGATTCGGACCCGGCCGTAGGAGGAGGGGATGGACTGTGGGCCCCCAAGGACTGCGGTTTCGCAGCCTTGTTCCGAGGGGGAAGCCGCCTTTTCCACAGGAGCAGCAGGGGGCGACCGTCTCCTTATGAAACTGTTGGACGCCCCCGCTGCTCTTCTTTTTCTCTTTCTTCTTCTTCTTCTTTTCCGGCTTCTTTCCCCCCCCCCCACTGGAGGTGGTGGTCGCCGGGGATCGGTGCGGGTGCAGAGTAGCTTGTCCGTGTGAGTGGCGGACATAAAGAATACCCCCAACGTATGACCTGCGTGTCGTAAGAGGCGACTAAAAGGCTCTCATGGGTGGGTTGCTGCGCCCACGAGTACCAGGAGCCGGAGGACTCCCCTCCTTCTCGCTTCAGAGAGGGAGGGGAGCCCAATGGCTCCTACAGCAGGGGAGCGCACCGGATCCCTTATGCCAGTATGGTACCGGTCTCTCGGGTGGGCAGCGGCGCCCGAGAGTATCAGAGGGAAGCGAGCGCGCCCGGTTGTTCTTAGGGCAGCCGGTGCGGCTGAACCGACCTCACCGCGGGCGCAGTCGGGTCCCTAATGCCAGTACGGCAACCGGCCTTCCGGGTGGGCAGCTGCGCCCGGGAGTAGTAAGATCCTCGGCGAATATTTCGCCGGGGATCCACAGCGGGGGCAGGGCGGGTTCCTGAGGCTCCGTTGAGCCAAACCGCCCTAGGGGGCGGCCCGAAAAGCCGCCCGGGTTGGGGGGCCGCCGTTATGCCCCCTATCACAAAAAATGATGGAACAAAAAAAAGGAGCGACTTCCGGCGGGTCGGATACGCCGGGCCGGCGCGGGGGGGCTGTGGTCCCAGGCACCCCCGTGTCGTCAACAGACGATGGGCTACACAAAACCGGCGCGCCGGCGGGCACAGCAACCGCCAAGGGAAGGGGGGAGTTTGAGGGGAAGGGAAAAGACAATGCGGAAGGAGGGTGGAAGAGAAGGAAGCTGGACAGATACGAGGAAGGCGGAGGGACTCAGGCATGTGAGGAATGTGGGGAAGTGGTACGGGAGAAGGCAAGCGAAGAGGAAGATAGCGGGAGTGAAGAGGAACAAAGCGGAGAGGAAGACATGGAAGCGGAGTCGGAAGAGGAAGGAAGTGAGGGCTGGCCGGACCCGATGGACGAGCGCAAGAACCGGGAATTTGTGCTCGCCCGGGTGGATTTCGCCCGGGAAAGTGCCAGCCTCATCGAGGAATATACCACAAGGAGCAAGAGAATGAGCAAGACAGAAAAGACGACCATCAATGGGCACGGAAATTACTTGAGGAGGTACTGCGAGGACACCGCGAGAGTCTTTAAACGTAGAACCGAGGCCTTGGAAAGAAGAATTGGCGAATGGGAAGATTGGTGGGAAAGAAGAAAGGATGCAAAGGATAGGAGGAAGGAGGAACTGAAGGAATGGGAAAGCAAAGGTATGAAATGGGATATGGAGAGGAAGGAGTGGACTGCCGAAAGGAAAGGCTGGGAAAGCAAAGAATGCAAATGGAAGGAAGAGAAGGAGGAGTCGAATAAGGAAAGGAGGGGATGGATGAGGGAACGGGAGGAGGCAGCGAGCACAATCGTGGAGCTATCCGCCGGGAGAAAGAAGAAGAACATGACGGATCGGGCCGTGTCTCTGTTCCCGGAGGTGCGGCCCGATCGAAAGGATAGGGCGACGTCCCCGCTGCAGGGCGCTGCGCCAATATGTCGACGGGCGGTGGCCGCCGGGTGGGGTGGGGTCTTTCGTGGCCGCCGGGCCCGCCGCGGCCCCCTTGGGGGGTCGCGGCTGGCGGAGGCAGGAGCAGGAGGAAGAGGGGCCCTGGGTCGGCCGATGAGGTAGGGCTGGACTCGGTGCTCCCGGCGATGCCGAGATTCTTGATGCCGCTGGTGCCGCCGACGACGGCGGCGATTAACGTCCGCCTGGAGGAAGGCGCGGTGAGCCTCACATATGCGGAGGCTCTCCGCAAAGTGAAGGAGCTCCCTCTTAGGGATGCTGGGGTTCGGCCGGCGTTTGTGAGGAGGGCCGCAAATGGCGGCCTCCTCTTGGGGCTGGCCGGCCCCGACAGGGAGGGAAGGAGCCGTGGAGCGGACGTCCTGGCAGATAGGATCAGGGCGTCGCTCCCAGGCGCCTTGGTTACAAGGCCGAGGAGTTGGGGAGAGATACGGCTCGTCGGCATCGACGAGTCGGTCCTCCCCGACGAAATATCCCACACCCTCGCGGCCCGCGGACGTTGCGGGATTGGAGAGGTGCGGACGGGCCCTGTTAGGAGGGGTTGGGGAGGGAGTCGGCGTGGTCTGGGCGCGGCTCCCCCTCGATGCCGCGGCCATTGTGGCCAGGGAGGGATTGGTGGCGCTGGGGTGGACGGGTGCGCGGGTTGAGATGCTCGCGGCCCGCCCGCTTCAGTGCCACAAGTGCTGGAGGCCCGGCCACATCCGGGCGGCCTGCTTTGCGTCTGTGGACCGGAGCGGCTTGTGTTACCGGCTTGTGGCCAGGCGGGGCACATCGCGCGGGACTGTGTGGAGGGTGTCTCCTGCGCGGTGTGCCGTGAAGAAGGCCGGGAGGCGGGCCACCGTATGGGGGGGCCCGCCTGCCCCGTGAGGACGGAAGGAAATGGCCCGCGGGCTTGGCCCACGGGGCACAGGAGGGGCCGACCGCCAAACGCGGGCGGTACTGGCCTCCCTATGGGAGACGAGGCGACGGACCCTGGGGTCTCCCAAGATCCGGTCGGCGGAAAGGGCCTCGGTCTGACCACCTAGACCGGGGCCACGGCGCCGGCCGAACATCGGGCCGTCGTCGGGGGGAGGAGACGGAATCGGGCGAGACATCGTTCCTACCGGTTCCCCCTCTCCCCTAAGGGTCGCTTGGGGGGTGTGCGGG